GCAGCAAAGGGCACACAAGCGAACAAGAGGCGCTCGAGAGCAAGGACGATAGAGGGGTTTTCGATCTGAATCCACTTGAACTGAAGCGAGGCCCAGGCGCCAATCAAGAAATTGGTCTCGGCGCATAGAAAAGCAGCGACGATCGCGAGAGGAACCGAGTTGAAAGTAAGAACAAGAGAGGAGCTGAAGAAGAAAGCAATCTGGGAGAAGACAAGGGTAAACCAAACGCCGAAAAACGCACCAGGCTTGAAATTGAGGGAATCAAGGATGTAAGAAATCATAAGGCCGAGAGTCAATGTGGCAATCACGGGGGTGCCGCCGAGGTCGAGAAGAAAGGCAGCAGAGGGGACAAGTGCAATGGCAATCCTAGGGTTGTAGATGAAGGAAGAAGGCGAGAATCGGGAATTCTTGAGAGATCTGGAGGAAAAAGAAGATGCTGAAGAAGAAGAACCGCGATAGGGACTAGGGTTTTGGTCGTAGGGGCTGCCATTGGAGATGGAGGAGAAGGAAGGGGCGCTGGTGGAGGCGGACATGTGAGGGCGGAATGAGCGGGACTGGAGCTCCGGCGGCATCATCATGGTCGTGGCCGGAGGCGGAGGCGGAGGAGGAGGAAGAAGAAGGAAGCGTTGCGAGAGAAAGCGCCGTAGTGCTTCAGCGTCAGCGTCAGCGCCAGCCGAAGACGGAACGGAAAGTGATGTCTCTCTGAGGAAGGCGCGGCCGCGGTGGCCTTCCTTGGGAGGATTAATTCTGGAAACCGTGACGTGTTCGGACCAATTGCATCCGTCCGATCGAGTTTATAGTGGGGGCCCTGTGGACTTCAGTCTTGGTGCCTTCACCCTAAAATAATTCATAAGATTATCCATAAAAGTCATTTTGAGTGAGTCTTTTTTTTTTTAATTTATATTTCAGAAGGTTTTTTTTTTTCTAAACAAAGAAATGCTCCATTAAAAAGAGACAGAGCCACGAAGGATCAGAAACGATTAGAAATTACCCACTTTACCAATAAAACAGCTTGTTCAAAGAATTAAGGATATCAACCAATTTTAGCAAACTAAACATTTTCTCCAAAGTTAAAACATCTTTAATTAATTGAGGTATTTATCAATTATGGCTCCACTATTCACAATTGTAAAGGAAATAATTACCTCCAAAATTGTCTTATTCTTCACCATAACAAGTAAGGAAGGATTACACAAATTCCTCAAATCACGTTGGTCATAGATCTTAATACAATTAAGATTGATAACTTCCTCAAATTCCAAAATGGTGTTAAAGTCGATCGTTGTCACCCACCTTCTGGTCTGTCTTTCTTGCACCTCCAATTCTGTGTCTGATAACTCTTCCAAACGTGTAGTTGACGAAGTCACATACCATACATAACAATGTTGCCTTTTATTTTGTCAGCCGCAATGACACTATCAATATCCAGGGGGAAATCCCCAACACTCGGCCATCATCTGCCATCACAGAAACCATTGGGGAAGAAGAATCCTCCCCGAAAATCGCCTCCACAACAGTAAGAGAGTTCCCTATTATATTTCGATCCATGCTACTTACTTCTTGAAAAAAACCACGGAAAAACCGGAACAAAACAAAGAGAAACACCGTCTGAAAAAACTCAGTTGGAAGATTGAGATAAAACTCACACCTTCACAAAGAGGAAAAGGAGAAAGGGGGGAGCAAGTCGTTGGCCACCCCGCCCCCTTCCCACTTTTGGCTGTACTATATTTAAGAAGGTTGGAGAAAGGATTTGAATCTTCACCTTGTATGTTGGGAAATTGTAGTTTTTTACTGTAACAACCCGTATTTTCTAATACGGTCATTCTAACAAAATGCGAAAACGTAAGTTTCAAGAAACCTTAAGAACTAACATTATTCAGCGGAAGCAATTTCTTTACAGAATTTTTCTAAACTAACTTAACTAAATAGGAAGATGACTTTTAAACTCATGCTAGTATGCTAAACTTCACCTTCTACCAAAACGATCGTTCAATCATTCATCTGAAAAACATTTAGGAAAACAAAGATGAGTACAGAAATACTCAATAAGCAATTTCCATATCGAATTTCGAAATTCATTTTCCTTTCAAAACATTCGTAAACAAAAATATGAACAGATCAAAACTTTTAAAGTCCTTTAAAATATTTAATACAATTTTCAAAACTTTCAAAACAAACTAGATTTTTAGAAACAAAAGTCTTAAAATAAGATAAAATTTCCGGTCAATCAAAACAAACTTTCATTCGATCAAACTTCAAATCCTTCCAAACAAACTTTCTTTCAATCAAAACTTTCAAAATTCATTCTAAAACATTTGGTACAACTTTCAAACTTTCGAATAACTAAATCATTCAAACATTCAAAACAATATTACATTCATTCATACTTTCAAAATCAGAGTGGAAGGTTGCATTATTTGGGTAGCCTACAGAACATATGTGGTTACCCGACATTTATGTAATCTAATCAAATGTGGAGATTTATAATCTTATGTCATAATTATGTAAATTTGATTTTCGATATTAAATGGTTAAATATTTAATATTCCATTATGTAATTTCAACTTTTTTTTTAAATAGATTTTTTCCATATTAGATTGGTAATTGACTATTTGAGTTAGATTTTTTTCCAATTGGTGTTTGGTTTTTCAAGTTTAAAAGTTTGATTTTTTAGGTTTGTAATTGATTTTTCAAATTAAAAAGTTGAGATTTTTTCCGTATTAGATTCAAATGGAAAAGAAAGTGAATTTTGTGGTGAGAGATTGGTAATTTTACTAATAAGAATATTTTGATAATTTTACAAAGTTAAAAAATGAAAATAAGCCAAAAATTAGAAGAGAGGGGTCATGAATAAGAGATTTTAGAGAGGGGTCAAAAGTCCAAATTGAATTAAGAGGAGGGACAAAAATCTCAATTTTCCTTGTATGTTAGGGGTGTAAATTGTGTGATTTAGTTTGATTTGAAATGAAGCCAATTAAAACAATACAAGAAGAAATTGACCGCATAAAATTGATGGGTGTTGAAAATGGAGCCAGATCAACCTCAAGACCTATAGTTTGATTAATTTTATTTGATAGTTTAAAGAGTTAAGTGGAGGTGAGAGGAAGAATGAGAAAAGCAGGATATCAACATAGATGATTCTCTTTTTAGACCCATATTACAATAATGTCTAAAAGATATAGATTTTTCATTTTGTCGAGTGGCTTTAGGTTTAATATTCAAAATGACATTAAATTTATAAAAATTTCCTTCATTTATACTCTACCAAAAAAAAAAGATAGAAAAACAAAAAAGTCAAAACAAGGAAGGAAAATTTATTCCGAAGGGGTAGCTTGGGGATAGCATTATCCCAGACTGTGATAGAACCATCTCGGACTAGGATTGTTATCCCATTCCGGGATTGTAGTATTTATATGGAATCCCGGTCCGGGATTGTTCTATCCTAGTCCGAGATATTGCTATCCTGGACCGGATACACGCAGCCTCGATTTTTGTTTCCTAACACTGGACATTTATCATGCAATTTTTTTTATGTGAATGCCAATAATCCACCAGAATTTATCAAGGGATAGCTTGGGTTTCAAGCTACAAAGAATGCAACTCCACAAAACAATTACACATTACATATGTACGGGTATGAGGATAGTCCGCATACCCCTATCCACTTTTTCCTTATATGTGTCTTCTAGTTCCATCTTTGTTATTTTGAGTATAGAGAAAAAGAAAAAAAATATCAATGATCATACTCCCTCTTCCCCATGTTTCCCCTAAATTCCATTGTCCTATAATCTATTGTCCTAAACCCAAAACAAGGAATGAAGGATTCTATAGTTCCTTGGTGAAAAAAATCAGACTAATGTCGTTATTGCTCATTGCCTACTACCTCGCACCGTCATCCAGCTAATTCATATCTCGCGGTGTCACCTGTAGTTTGCGACATTCTGCCCAACACGCATAGTCACTTACTGCCCACACTAACGTCTACCGCSATGTACTGATGTACAACATGATTTGCAGAAAATCGCGACGTGCCTATAATTTGCCATAGTTAAGGATAGAAGAATTACACTTAATAAAAACATGAATTATTGTTATTCGAATTCGCTAGTGTACGAATTGTCATAGAGTATCGTCTTCACAGGGAATGAATTATTGCTAACTACCGAATTCTCAACTTCAATTTTATCTGAATGCCGAAAGATCAAATAGAATGAACAGAGAAGTAATTCGAATCCAAATTCAATGAAAACAAGAAAACACACTAGTATCAAGATATAAGATCGAAAACAGATGGGAGTAAATTCTAGAGCATGACTTCATCGATATCTCCCTTTATTTCTCCTAACACTTTAGTTGAAACTATTCTAAATTAAGGTTGTTGGTGGGTTCTATTCTATTGTCTCGATATTCTTTCTCAAGCAATAACGAGTTTCTTGGCAGAGTAGAGTACCTATATTTTTATGGCTACTCATGCAGTTGAAATACTAAACCCAAAGATGCCACCAAATTTTGCAAGAATATCTCTATCTCTTGCTCAAACAAAGAAGAAATATTCAAACCTAGCCATTAATCTTGTTTCTCAACCTTGATTTATGACAAAGAATCAATGTAAAGATTGGTCGAATCCAAACAATGCATTAAGAAAAGAAAAGTTCTCACAACCAATAAATTTAGACTAGAAATCAAATAAAGAACGAGGAATAAAGTTTGATAAATGCTACATCAACGCTCTAGAAAAGTATAATTAGTTCATGCTATAGTTAAGAACAATAATCCACATCTTTGAAGGAAGTTGAAGCTAAATGAGAGAAAGAAGAAGAGAAAGAAAACAAATCTGACGATCTCTCGAACCTCCGTTCTTCACGTTCCTTCCAATCTTCTCAAAATCCCAACTTTTCTCTCTAAAAACGTTCTACTCATCTATTTTCCCTCCTCTGCGGCTAGGGCTAAAATGAGATATTTAACAAAATTATGTCGCGAATGCCTAGGCGCCCAAATGAGTGCATGTAAAATCAATGCTTCAACATTCGTAGCGCCTAGGCACCCAGATGAGCGCCTAGGCGCCCAACATTCTGCCATTTTGTCAATTTTCGACGCCTAGGTGCCCAACGCACTGGAATTTGACTCAATTTTGCTTCTTTATTTGCTCTTTTTCTCCTCCTCAACTCAAGTCCTACAAAAGAAAGAAATACTAAAAATGATTAAACTATCCAAAGAAAATGTCCGTAAAAACTATCAAATAACTCAAAAACACCCTAAATTACAAGAGCCAAAAGTCACTTATCAGTTACAAACTCTCTCTTATAGAGGACAAAATCTCTCGTAAGAAGAAACTATCTCTATTTTTATCTCACCAAGCCTCACACTTTAGCTCACTTGGTTTTGAGATTTTGTGATGGATTGGTGAGCATGGGTGCCTACCTATATATAGTCCAACCATACTTGCCCATCAAGTAAATTTGTATGGCGACAAATACGTCACATCTTAACCTTGAATAAAGTGTATCATCTCGTGGTTATAGACTTGATACATCTTAGCATTGGACATGAATGGGATATGAATTCCGTAGCGAAAGCAATAGAATGCATTCTTGAATTTCTTTTGAAATTTAAAACATAGAAAAATATTAAACAGGGAATAATGTTGAATTTTACCTTTGAAACTCTTCTTCGTGTAATCCCAATAAGACAACACCACTTGATCTTCCTCAACTGTAGGATCCAATTGCAAAGGATTAAGAGAGTAAGAGAGTTGAGAGATTTTTTAGCCTTTCTACATCTTTTTATGGTTCAGTTTATTATTATGTTTATAGAGAGGGAAAATCCTAAGACCGTAACAATATCTTATCCTTTTAGATATAGGATATCTTATCCTGAATCTAGAGAAAATCCTAAAACCATCCTGATATCTTCTTCTTTTTATTTAATTAATAATAAACAAATTAATTAAATTAATTAACAATTAATTAATTCAATTAATCATTATTAATCTAATTAATAATTAATTACTTTAAATCCAAATATTAATTAAATAAATAAATAATTAACAATTAAATATTTAATACCCTCACTCGTATGTCTCTACATGAACGACTTGGATAAAGTCGTTTGTAACTATTATAAAGCAGGTTATATCCGTAGTGTTACCAGGATAAGGTACCCAACCTTATCCAATGTACTATAGACCATTTATGTTATTACTGGAATATTATCTCCTTGTATATTGAATATATACCGTACATAAAAAATATACACTGTATATCAAATATATACATTGTATATTAAATATATATTGTATATCAAATATATATTGTTCCAATTACATTAAATAACCTAGAATCTTAGTTTATTGGAATACGAGTAATGCAAAAAAAAAAAAAGATAACTCTTTATTGAATAAATAATTTGTTCATAAATTACAAATACACGAGTTAAGGGCACCAAACCCAACTGGACAAAGTGTATGATCCAGTGACCATAAATTTGCTACATCTTGACCTTAGACAAACTGTGTGATCTAGTGGCCACAATTTTTCCAAGGATACTCCCTAACAGGTTGTCAAAATATTATTTAACAATCTCCCACTTGTAGGTTTGATTAATAACCAATCACATCTCCACACTATTCTTTTCACCTTACCATCTTTATATTGCTTATGTTTCTGTTAGGCTAATCGAAGATTGACACCCATTGAACTTGTCAACATTGACTGGCTTTGTCAAGTAATCTGCTAGGTTTTCTTTTGTATGAATTTTATGCAAATTCATTGTTCCTTCGTCTACTTCTCTCGAACGAAGTAGTACTACATTCGAATATGTTTTGACTTGGAATGGAAAGTTGGATTTCTTGCAAGATACAAGGCTTGACTATCACAAAAGAGAGAATTATTCTCTTGTTCATGCTTGAGTTCCTCCAATAGCATTTTCAACAAAACTGTGTTTCTTTACTAGCTTGTGTGGAGCTGCAACATACTCTGTTTTTGTTGTTGACGTAGCCCACCAATTGACTGCAGTTTTGAAACTCAACTTACAGCTTGGCTAGTAAGACTAAATACATATTCGGTGGTGGATTTTATTTTATCAAGATCACCTGCATAATATGAGTGTCAACATATTCACTAACAATAAAGTCTAATCCTCTATAACACAATGCAACATCTGTGGACCCTTTAATCTATCTAAGGATCCTAGCTTTTAACAGCACTACAATGCTCTCTAGACGAGGATTCGCCACATATGCCGACTAACTACTTCTATTGCTACAATGTATGGTCTATAGTACAAATCATGGCGAACATTAGGCTTCCACTGCTAATGCATATGATACTTGAGACATCTCCATCCTCTACTTCGTTGCTAAGGTTCATACTAGAGGATAACTTGAAATTAATAGGAAGAGGTAGAATTTGGCTTATAGTTTTGCATGTTGAAACGACGTAAGACCATTAGCCAAATTTTTTTGTTATTTCTGTCTTGGTGAATTTGCATCCCCAAAATCTTGTTTGGTCGTCCCAAGTTCTTCATTTCAAACTCCCTAGCCAACCGTGTCTTCAATTCTTCGATATGATATTTATTGGAGTTACAACCAACATGTCGTCAACATACAACAGCAAGACAATAAAATCTTTTTACAAAACCTCTTGAAAATATACATAAGAGTTTACATTAAGTATGTTGTATCTAAGGCTCACGATGAAAGAATTAAATCTCTTGTACCAACACTTCAGTGTGCATGTCTGAGACCATACAGAGATTTGTTCAACCTGCAAACCAAGTTCTCGTTTCCTTTTACTTCAATGCCTTTTAGTTAGAGCATATAAACTTCTTCTTCAATATGTCCATGGAGAAAAGTACTTTTAACATCTAATTGCTCCAGCTATAAGTTAAATGTAGCACACATTTCCAGGACTATTCTAACCGTAGTAAGTCAAACTACTGGAAAAAAGATCCGATTGAAGTCAATACCTTTTTTCTCATTATATCCCTTTACTACCAATCATGCATGATTCTGCTCCACTTGATTATTGTTGTTCCCCTTAATCTTATACACTCATTGCTTACCAATGGGCTCTCTCCCTTGTCACTACAACAAAATTGGTCTTTGATGTTAGTTTAAAATTGACATCATACATATACGATGTCGGTTCCACACCAACATCGAATAATGTGTTATCGGAGCATTCGATGTCAGTTTCTTGAATGATATCAATTGTGAACCGACATTGAAATAACTTACATTGTAGTGCAACTGACAGGGAATTAGGTGTCATCGTAGACTACGATGTACGTTAGTTTACAGTGTTGGTTCCTTAATGAAATTGTTTATTCAAACTATGTCAGTTGGGAATTGACATTAAACTAACCGACATTGTTATTTCATAATTGACATTATTTTCATTAAATTTTAATGGAGATTTATGGTGACAGTTAGCAATGATGTCAGTTCTAAACCGACATTGTTTATACAAAAAACTGCAACAAGAATATTAATAAAATCTTGTATATGCAGAATACCTATAAAACACGATGTATCAAATCATTTTCAACAAAAAAAAAGAGTGCAATAATCTTTATTTTCAACTATTCTACACTAATACTTTTATAAGCTCCACTACACAATCAAACCATTATAATACTGAAACAATCATGGATAAACTTATATACTTATAGTAAATAGATAAAAGTAATATTAATTTAAGAGATAAAAATTCGGGAAAACAATGATATATACTTCACACACCCAGTCAATAAAACATATTTTATCATATACATTATTATATCTAATTATACTATTTTTCTTGAGGTCATAACTCCCATGAGGATTGGTTAAAAGTAATGAATAATTACTAAACAAATAATATTTCATAAGATGTATAAGTAAAAGCTCAAAGAAACTTTCTTGTAAATATGTTCCGCTCTTTGTTGCATTTGCATAGTAATTTTGTAATTAACCATGCCTTTTACAGCAGTTTAATTATTTTTTGTTCTTAACAGTTTGTGCCGCCCAAACATTGGGATGCAGATGCAAAAATGAACATAAAAATCACCAAATGCAACAAAATCATACATATAAACCATCAAGGATAACAAAATCAGACATGAAAACTACCAAATATTACAAAATCAGACCTACAAGAATCTTTAATCACAATCAAAGATCAAAATATATACAAAAATACATAAAAACAAGAGAAAATTGACCATAACTATAAAAAATAGGGCTGTAGACACATACTTACCTCGTGAAAGCCTCGTGGGTAGTACAATAAAGCTCCTTCTGAATACGACAAAGTCTTTTTCGTGAAGTGGGATGTATGTGGGGTTGAAATTACAACTCAAAGAAGGTGGTAGGAGAAGAAAAAGTTGAAGTTTTCGAAGAAATTAGGGCGAATTCATCTGCCCCCACATGGGGAAGAAAAGAGGGGAGAAAAAAGCAGATTTTAAAACAATGTCATTTTAATAAGTTGGAACGTTTTAAATTCTAAATCAAAACAATGTTATTGAGATTTAAATATTTTCATTAAAAAGAATTTACTTTTAGGAAAAAATACACTTTTAGTCATTTAGATTTAGAGTAAGTGTCTATTTGATCCCCAAAGTCTCAAAATGAGCGTTTTTTTGGTCCTTCAAGTTTGAAAAATGGCTCTAAATGTTCCCTAAGTCAGTTTGACTGTTAATTGGCTGATGTTTAAATGACGTGTCAGTTAAATTGATGAATGTATGTTGATGATTTGACAAATATATTAATTTAATATTTTCTTTTATGATGGCTGGACTTTTTTGTTTTATTTTTAATTATTTTCATCGTTTCGTCTTCTTTTTCTCTCAAATGAAACTCACCACCGGTCGCCGGCAATCGTCTCCCTTGCCTCAGCTGTCACTGCCTCTGTCAAACTTCGATGAGCTCGAGAAGTAGTAGTACCACTTCACTATTTTCTTGTGCCTTATACTCCCCAATGTCTCCACTTCCTTTTTCAGCTCCTTGTCAAGATGCAACTGCTCAGATCCGACACACTATCTTTCCTCTTCCGGCTCCACAACTTTTTCACCACCACGATTTCCCCGCTACTTAGTTCTATTTTGTACCCCATTCCGGACCCGCTGCGACCCACAATGTTCTTGTCCACCATCAATTTGATTATCTCTCTTGGATCAAAGTTGATTCTGGTGATTTCCTTGCAAAAGCAGCAAATTAAGCCAAATCAGATACCCAATTTCTGAGATAATTGGACCGGATAAGAGATTGTTGCTGAGATAAATTTGAACCAAATTGGTTGCTCCAGAAATTCTCGACGACGATTTGTGCCGAGTTCGTTCTCATGGAAACCCCAAGGCTGATGGAAGATGGTAGATTATAAGTGGTTTGAATTAAAATCCCCGTTGAAGCAATTGTAGCTTTGGGGTTTATGAGGAGGTCAAAGAGTAAAATCATAAAACTGTATTCTTCATTATTTGTTTTGCTTTCTGAGTTCATCAAATCATTAAAATTTCTAAACTCTGAATAATTTACAAATCTGGATTGACAAATTTATTTCAATTTCTGAATTTAGATTCAAATTTGTGTGTGTTTCTTCCCAAATCCTTGTATTCACTCTTTCTCCAATTCACATTTAAAAATTGCAAAACAAAAAGTGAAAGAAAAAACTATAACGCCATTTTTAGAGGTTCTTTCTTATGCTGTGAGATTGATGGAGAGAGAGGAAGCTCTTTCTCTCTCTTTCATTCTAGATTTGCATTCCAGATTTGGAACAAATGAAAAGGGAGAGATCACCTCTCTCATTCATTGCCCCTTTGAAATAGGATGGCAAAGCTCTTTAGAGGTTGGTCGCAGCAGCAACAGCTGTAGACGAGGGAGACAATTGCCAGCGGCCGATGGTGAGCTTCACTAAAGAGGAAAAAGAAGACGAAACGATGAAAATAATTAAAAAGAAAACAAAAATGTCCAGTCATCATCAAAGAAAATATTAAATTAATATATTTGCCAAATCATCAACATAAAATCATCAATTTAACTGAACAGGTCATCTAACATTAGTCCATTAACAGTCAAACTAACTTATGGACCATTTAGAACCATTTCTCAAACTTGAGGGACAAAAAATACTCGTTTTTTGAAACTTCAGGGATCAAATAAACACCTACTCCAAATCTCCAAATCTCAGGGACCAAAAATGTATTTTTTCTATTACTTTATTATTGCTTTTAAGGTAAAGTTTTATTTAAATTAAAAAAAGTTGGATTTTATTTAAAGGGATTTATAAGAAAATGAAAATCTTTTATTAAAAAAAATTGTTTTAAATAAAAAAAAGATACTGTTTTTTCTTTATTTATTCTGTTTGATTTTTTCCTTGTAAAACATGGCTTTCTTTCCTTACTTTTCTCTAATCTTCATTTGACTCACCCATTTGTTACTGTTGAGTTTATACATATTTAAGAGGGGAAGAACGCACAGAAAGGAAAAACACAAAATAGATACACACGTACAAAGAGTGAGGAAGAAAAGAAGAAGGTAAATGTAAAAAGGGAAAGAAGTTTTTGAATAAAACTTTTTTTCTTTCTCTCGTACATAAACCAAAATCCATCTTCTTCCTCCAACTTTTCTTCTTCCTTAATTTTTTTTCTTCTTTCACCTTTATATTCCTCCCAAAAACCACCCACGACACCCAACAACCACAAACTCCGGTAGTAGCAACAGGCTGGCATTATGAATGAGACCAGCGGCGACAGCAACTTCCGGCGACCTTCTGTCGATCCTTTCCTGCAACAACACGTCCACGAACCCAGCGTAAAGAACTTCTGTGCAAATAAAGTATCGCATTATACCTTTTTTTTTCTTATCGTGCGTTTTTCATAAAAGATTTTTTTTCTTTTTCTTTTTAAGAAAGTAAATCTAAAATAAGTTTTGAAATTTAAATAAAAATTTTGTAGTAAAATTTATTAAAAAAAAGAAAGATAGTATTTTTTTTTAATAAAGTATATGAAAGTTTTTTTTTAATAAAGAATTTTGTTTCAAAAGTAAAGTTTTTCTAAATAATTTCTTTTAAAAGAAGAGTAAAAGATATTGAAAATAAATATGTTTTAAAAATCAAAATGAGTTTTCTTTAAAAAAAATTGTAAAATAAATAAAAATTTATTTAAATTTGAAGGTAAATAAAAAGACGAGCTTTTTTTTTTATTTAATGTGAAAATTTGATTAATTAAAGTGTTAAAGGAGAGTTTTCAAATTTTCCATCGTTTTAAACTTATTAAAACGAATTTGGCAAAGAGTAAAAGATAAAGTCTTTTAATTAAAAAATATATATATAATGAAATCTTTCAAAATAAGCTTTTAACTTATATTAGTTTAATTGAGAGTGGTAAATCAAATATTGTGGTAAATGAAATCTATTTAAAAAAAATCAAAGTCTTTTTAGATAAAGGTGAATTTTAAATTGAGTTTCTTTTAAATTAACGAAGTTTAGTCTTAAAAGAAAAATCTTTTTAAAGTAAAGTTTTTAGAAAGGCAAATAAAAAGTTTTAAAGAAAGTAAAATTTTGTTTTTAAAATAAGGTTTTAGAAAATAAATAAAAAATTATGTTTTTTTAAATAAATTACGTTTACATCCTAAGGTGTTGGCACGTGGTAAGTGTTAACATCCATGATCTAGGTTCAAGCCTTGTGTGCCTTAAACCACGAATGATTTTTTATTTATCATTTTTTTTACTAAATAATTATTAGTTCAAAAACTCCAATGACGGAAATTGGAACCTTCCAATATTTTCGAGGTGATAAAAAATTCTAATGGCTTTTGTGCCGCTCGTAATTATTAGTTCACATTTTATAATAAAGTATGAATTGATAAAATATGAGACATTTAAATAAAAACACAAAAATATTTTCTTTTGGACCAAATAATAAAATAAGATAATTTTTGACAAAATTTGGTAATCGTTTTCAATTGGGTATCGTAGGGTGCTAACACCTCCCCTGCACTCAATCGTTTTCAAGGTTACTTATCTAAAGAAATTGGAACATTTTTTTTACTCTTCTATTCAATTGATCATAATCTCTTACCAAAGCTTCAAAAATAAAAATAAAAATAAWAATAATAATAATAATAATAAATCTCCAGTCTCTTATTGTTCAAGAGGTTTGACAAAAATATCCATGTACGTTTATTTTCACTTTCTTTGGAAGTCCACCGACTTTTATTCATTGTTAAGCTTTATTGCAAAATCACGATTTCCATCCTCTATTGTTCCTAATGTCAAATTCGTTTTCTTGTATCCGACCTTCTTATCAGTTACAAGGTTGAGTTTATGAAGTAGTTTAATCAAGCTAGATGTACAATGCTATGAATTACTTTTGATAGTTCTCTAAACTAGCACATGAGATACATATAAAAAAGAATCTCCCACCAAATCTAATATGATTGAGAAATTACCTTGGTGGTGTATATCTCTTATCAAGTGAAGACATTCATTAAAATATAAAAAATAAAAAATAAAAAAGACAAGCAAAAGGAAAAGAAAAAGAAAAAGAAAAAGAGTTGACAGGTTTCCTCCAATATCGACATTATTTTTTTTTTCATTTGATTGTTTGTTAAATATCTGCTTAATAAGAAGGGTGAGAGTAGACAAAGGACAATATCTTTACTAAATATGGAAAAATGTTTTGTTCTCTCAACCATATTTTCACAAATCATGCATTCACATCACTTGCATATATATTCTTTAAAAAATAAATCGTTTTCATATCATGGTTAGATATTGAAAATATGAATATCACACATTCATCTAGCGCTAGCATATGTGCTATGCATTCGGAGTTACATTCATTAGTTGTGTCAAAGTAAATATGGATATCATGCATAAATATGAATTGTGCATTCATAGTCGATTCTATTGTTTGAGCCAAAACAAAAATGAGTATCATACATACATATTGCATCCATCTAGCTTCAGTAAGTATATACATTATTACATCATGCATTGAGGGTCAAATTCATTGGTTAAGCTAAATAAAACTCAGATCATATGCTGTCACACATTGTCAATGAGTTATCATTCTTCAAGTGATAAAAAAATAAATGAAAAATAAAAGTGAGCATCATTTGTCATTCATGACATTGGAGGAGTGCACATTTGTAGATGCACCTATCAATTCTTGTAAACATCATTTACGATAACGACTGCATACTACCATTGAAAGTTCGCATTTACATGACACGTAGTTTTCGTYAGTCTTATCATCATGCATCTAATGCGCATCTCATGCATTTAGGAAAGTTTAGGAGGATTTTTAGGTTACACTCAGGTCAAAGAACTTCCTAATAAATCAAATAACTTCAGCATTC